TTAAAGGTTAAGTAATTGGGGTTTCAACCTGATTCTGTATTAATCTGTTTGCATTGATTTAGTGTTACTTAAGAATTTAGAGAAAGACCTGAAGTTCCTTTTTGAGAGCTATCTTTTCCACAATTTCAACTTCTCAGTTTCTTCCTTGCCCTTACACTTCGCAGAAATAAAATAACAAACCCACAAAAAACAAATCCCAAACACTTGAATCTCTAAGCTTTTTAACATGGCTAATCCTGTTTTGCCAATGCCTTTCAAGTGGTTTTACTACCCCCTTCCAACAGTAGTGATTACTGTTAATGGACCATTTCTTTAAGGTGAGTGAAGTACGAGGGAGATCCTCAGGCTTCATATTATGAGTCAGTTTTGAGTCAGTGCAGAACAGACCTTTCTTACCTTGTGCAAGTTACTAGTAATTCTCAAACCTGGCAGGACCAGGTTTATTAGACACGGCCATACTTCTTTTCATTCTGTTGGTATAAGCCTCTTTAAAAAGAGTATAGCTCTAAAAGAAATCAATGTCTTGTTGGAAAAGATTTTTTTTTATGTCACTTGTCTTATAGTAATCATCTATGGCAGGAATTTGGTTGTAGATACTAACAATGAAGACGCATTGCTTAAAATAGCAGCCCTGAAGAGAACAGGTGTGAATGTGCAGCATTGTTTCTGCTACCAAAGGTAACTTGGATGCTTAGGCAGAAATTGAGTTCCTTTAGTTATTTCTGTGTGTGTTGTGTTGTGTCCCAAATATGTGTTAGTAATGTTTATGGCTAACTAACAGCTGCCGCTTAGGCTGTAATGAACTTTCTGCTATTTTAACCATAAACTGTTCTTGCCTTTTCAAATTTATAACCATGCTGTCTGTAATAAGATTAAGCAGAGTTAAGAACCTAGATATAGCAGCCTTCTATTCGAGTAAATCTTGTAAGTTCATTAAAATTACACTATTCTTTTGCTACAAAACACATGTTGTCTTGGAGCATGGTGCTGCTGCAGAAGTTCTGTTTCTCACATGAAGCTGGTTATTGTGCAGGTTGTCAAGGGCCAGAAGGGTACAAATGAAGTAGCAAATTCTGGGCAAAGACCTTACAGCCCATAAAGCCATATGTTCTGTCAGAAAGAGCTGGTGCTCACTGCGGAGTATCCTAAAACGAGCAACTGTCAACCTAGACCTTTGGTATGGATCCAATCCCCTAACTTCATTCCACATGTGCAAATTAAAGCTCTCATCTCTGTGGCTGACTCTGACTTCATCACTTACTTTGTAGTCAGGTGCTGGTTTTGAAAGCATAGAATGTAGAAAGGAATCATTTTTTTTTCAGATTTTTTTTTCAAAAAATAGCTACTTTTTGTGATGACAGAGTACTTATGTAGATCATAGTGTGGTAGAATTTGTTAAGTTATGGTGCTGATTTTTTGCTTCAGACAGCACTCAAAATAGAAAAAGAACCACCACTTTTCAGGGCTAGCAGATTCAGCTGCTGTATTACTATCAACTTTGCTTATTGCAGGAAATACAAGCATTGTTAGATTTGTTATTAATGTATTCTCTCCTGTGTGACAATATTCCATGTTACTCTCATTGTTATGAATTCCAGGATCTGTTTTGTGGATGCCTTGTATATTATAACGTTCTTATGAAACCTGCCAGGGCAGGAAAGAAAGCAATCACTACCAAATACATGATACAGGAGCTGAATACAATCATACTGGCTTTGGTGGTACTGAATATCACACGGAAGCTTCCTCTTCACATGGTGTGATAGCAATGAATTACTCAACTTTGTATCCAATTGTGATTGCTGTCAAAATTGTACTTAGAAGTGTGTGCAAGCAATATAAAAGTGCTGAAGTATTTGAAACGATAGTTATTAATATTTCAATCAATAACATACATGATATTTAATGTTCTGAGACTAAATTTACTAGTGCATTAAATAGGTCGCAACTTTAATCATAAGTCATAGCAAAATACACATTTGTTGCTTTAAAGTAGTTCAGTGGAATTAGTGAAAGCAGCCTAGATTCCCTCATAAGCTATCTGAAGCTAAGCCAAAAATAGTGGATGTTAATTCCATTTCTATCCTAATCCTTTCTCTGCTTGCCTAACATTTTTCTGTATATTCGTAACAGGGTTCATGCTTTCTTATTTGTGCATTTAGGTGCAGATTCCCTTAGAATTTACAAAATGCGATGTCTCTGCATGACTATAAAATTACAGTAGAGAGTTTTTGTTGTTTTGTTTGTTTTCTAAATAGCATAACATGATTCTCACCTGTCCCCAGCCTCTCCCTGCTGAAAACGTGCACACCCAGACGTGTTGGCTTCCTTCTGCTTCTCATCAGCTGGATGCAATCTGTACAGACTCGTGTTGCAGCATTTCTAGTATGTGTACATGCAGAGCTGTGCCAGCTCTTGTAGGGAGGTGTATGGTACTTGCAAAAATTCCTGTGTACTCTGGGGTATCAGCTCCAGCAGCACGCACACGAAAGGAGGATGTGTGAGAAGGCAAGTATGGAACTGCATGTCAATGCCAAAGTCTTTGGAAGAAAAGCACTGTGAGTGCACTGCTTTGCTCGGAGCTTATGCCACCGTTTGTTTTTGTAGAGTGGGTGGTCTTTTTCTGCTTCTTCCCTGTGCTAATGTTAGCAATTGATGGGGCTGGATGCTCAGATGGATTGATGATCTGGTGTAGTGAATGCTAAGCCAGTTAAAAAAAGGAGGGAAAAAAAAATCTGGGTCGACACAGCTGCGTGCTCACTCATGCTAATGCAAAATGTAGTGGGAACATTTTGCTGCAGCAGAGGTCAGCGAAGGTCAGACCTACCAGACATTTGTTCTGCACCCATCACCTCCTCACAGAGCTCTGTGGGTGCACATCTGGCTCAAGGATCTGCCTGGTAGTTGTGTAAGGGCTTATAGCAACAAGGGAGTGAGGGGGAAAACAAGAGGTGGCCTTATAGATGGGAAGCATTTGAGCTGCCTGTGAAAATGTGACTTTGGATTTCAACATGGTAGAGAAGTGCACTGTTCTAAAGAAAGGTGGTTCATCTTGTTTCGATGAAGCTTTGTATTCTTTCTTAGTCTTTTGTTTTGTTTTTCCTTCCCATATTTAGCTATGTCCTGAACTATGTGATGAGGTGTTGTTTTACTTGACTGGTGTTTGTTCACATTGGTTTTTAAGGTCTGTGGCTCACGTTTGGTTATGTTTTCAGCTGCAGTTGGAGTCTATATGGGTGGGACAAAAAAAGCATCCTAAAGTGTTCGCTTTGGAAGTTCCATTTTGAACATCATGCTGGGTATTCTTTCCACTGATGTCAGGTCTGTTGCATTCTAGTGAATGTGTCGCTGCTCTTTGTTTAGATCATGAATCAAACTGAAATTTGCAACACTCTGGTTACACAGGTTCCTGCAGAAATGATGCATAAAGAAGGCATACAGAGGTCTTGGTATCTGTGTATATATACATATTTGAGCCTTGTGAGCTTACTGAGAGAGCTCTTTAAAGCTTCCATAGCCATGTATGAAGCTTTCTTTCATTTGAGACTGAATATTTCTGACAGGATTTCCATCAGTAAATATCATTTCATCCCAGTGTGTGTGAGAGCCTTTGCAGGTGTTGACTTGTAAAGAGATTAAATATAAGGTCTTTGCCTTGCAGACTGCTATGCTCTGGTGTTTAATCCTATTGACTCCTTTGAACTCTTTGTGGCAGACTATACCCATAGGCATAAGTAGCTGCAGGATAGATAACATTCTGGAGGAGGAGATGAGGGAAGTATTTTAAACCTGTCCCTTTCCCAGCATGTGCTTTTCTTCTAAGTGTTGATCATGATTTTGTGAGGGCTTCTGAAACACTCTTAGAAATAGAGCAATGTTGAGGCTGCACCTGGCAGTGCCTTTAGCCCCAAGAGTCTGAAATTTCATTTGCAGAAGGAAGTATGCTTGTGTTGTTATCCCTGGATGCCAGCAGTCAATGTAGTCCCATAGGCCAGAGAGGCTGTATGCTGTACAGGGTGGGCTTGCTGCAGTTGGAGCCTGTAATTAGTTTAACTGCTAACTCAGAAAACATGAATGAAGGAGGGGAGATTGCCTTTTTTGGCATACAATTTTGTCCAAATTTGAGCAAATCTTCATGCTAAAGGATATTGCTGCCAACTGCAAGTCTGTACTGCAAAGCACTGAGCATGACACCTCTCAGAGATACGATTAGGGGAATCAACTCTTTGAAAAGGTTGATAACTGCAGGACAAGGGGAAATGGTTTGAAGTTGAGGGAGGGAAGATTTAGGTTGGATGTCAGGAGGAAATTCTTTACAGAGAGAGTGGCAAGGTGCTGGAACAGCTGCCCAGAGAGGTTGTGGATGCCCCGTCCCTGGAGGTGTTCAAGGCCAGGTTGGATGGGACCCTGGGCAGCCTGGTCTGGTATTAAATGTGGAGGTTGGTGGTCCTGCATGTGGCAGAGGGGTTGGAGATTCATGATCCTTGAGGTCCCTTCCAACTCTGTGATTCTGTGATTCCAAATAATAATATTTTAAATGCTGTCATGTTCAGTGTAATTTCATTATGGAAAAATTGCCAATGCAGGTGAATTTCAAGTGATGGCAAAGTTACAAGATGAACTTATTATTATTAGCTTACCGAAGTTAACATTGAAAATGGAATTACGAGTGTAAGCAGTGATGTCTGTTTGGATCAAAAACCAAGCTCTTGGTTGGCAGATGGAGCAAAAAGCATGCCCTTTATCAGTTACACTGGCAGATGACTCTTTGAGGCTGTAAATAACACATGAGAAGCTTCTCACTGAGAGGTCCAAGTGTGCAGCCTTGCCCTCTTTGGTCTCTTGGTCTTATGAGTGAACTTTCCTAAATTTTGCGGAGACAGTACTTGAGGTTGTTGAGATGAGTATTGTCAGTAAGTAGAAAACATGGAGAACTTTTCTATGTTACCTTCTCAAATTGCTTCTTTTTCTCCCCCACCATTTCTTGCAGATCTCTTCCTTTTGCCATGTCAGCTGACAGCCACCAGCTCCACACTCATTCCCACAAGGACATGCTAAGTTCTACTTGTCATGGTCTCTTGAATGTCAATAGTCACCCCTTGTCAAAAAGCTCCTCGAGTCTCATTTGTGCTGGGCATTCAAGTTTGGAATGGCAAAACAACAAACAGGAGCTTAAGAAAAGCCACAGCAGCACTGTCTGCCAAACCCTGGGACATGAGAGCGATGCCAGAAGTGTACCAAGTCCTAGATGGTCCTTCTCACAGTCTGGGTTGATGGGACTTGACTCAGTGGTCCAAACCATGAACAGTCAGTCACCCGATAACAATTCACAGAGCAGATCTAAGACTACAAACCATTTTCTTATCATTGAACAGTCCTCACCATCCTGGGAAGTGGGTGACACTAAGATGTGTGTAAAGAGCAGTACTGTTGAGAATGTTTCTTCAGCCTGTTTTAAGCACCAGCAAAGCATGGGTAAAATGGATGAACCAAGAGCTGCTCTCCAGAGGAGCCACTCAGACCTAACCTGCAGTTGCAAACAGCAGAGTTATGTCACTCACATAGAAACCAGTGCTACTGATTCAAGCCTTAGCTCTTCCAGCAGCAGGCACGGTCCATCAGTGGTGAAGATGTCTTTCCAAGCAGAAAGATATGGATCAGAAATAAATGAAAATACTCACTATCAAAACCTTGTGACTCATCTTCCAGCTCTACCTATAGACCAAAAAGTACCCACAAATACCTTTGACAGTGGTGGTATTCCACATAATTCAACTGTTTACACAGATCCTGGAAGATTTCACAGTGCTGTTCTAGGACCCCACATGCCTGGAAACAGTTTCTCCAACAGGACAATTCTCAGTCAAGCCACTGGAATTATTCATGGTGGTCTGACTTACAGTAATATTCCAAACTCCGCATATTCACCAATGGTGATGGCAGTTCATAACAATTCTGCAGTGCCCTGTAATATAAGGCAGGACTCTTGTATGAAAGTAGATGCCACTGTCCCTGCCTATTGCCATTCTTTGCCCATACCATCTATACAGCTTGTTCCACGGTTAGTATGCTCAGTTAGCGAGTCGGGAAAAGAGCAAGCAGCACCTGGCTATCTTCATTCCTTTTCCACTTCAGACATTCTGACCTATCCTAAGCTTGTGTCTTCAGTAAGTGAATCAGGCCTGGATGCCAAGAGAGTCCTGAAGTGCTGTAGCATTCCTGGAGAACAACTACAACATGCTCCGCACTGCACTCAGCTGGATAGAGCTTCTCCAGAAACACAGACTGCTTGTGTTGCTTTTAGCAGCCAGCTAACAACAGACATAGCAATGAAAACTAAAGATATGTGGACTATGACCTCTGCAAATGATTTAACCAAGGGACTCAAACCGGCTCTTGAACGCAGAGATGCCGAGGTACAAACTCTCCCAACTATGGAATGCAAATCTGTTGCAACAAGCCCAGCGGCTGCAGCAGAAAGCCACTCACATGTGTTCCCAGAGGTCAACCTGGAGCAAGACTTGGAGGCCCCCAAGTCTCCGGTACGGGAAGTGAGATGGGATGATGAAGGAATGACATGGGAAGTGTATGGGGCATCTGTGGATCCAGAAGTCCTTGGTTTAGCCATTCAAAAACATCTTGAGATTCAAATAGAACAATTCCAGACAGAGCCTGTTCAACAGACTGGGAAAAACAAAGAGGATCCTCTCAACAAGGAGCCATCTTCTGACAAAATGGAGAAGAAAAGACCGTTCAGAACAATGATGCATTCTCTGAGATATCCGAGCTGTTGTGCTCGATCAAGTAGTGCAACGGAGTGAGCGTAGCTCTAGGACAGCCACAGCCACGTTGGGGTTTTTTTGTTTGTTTGTTTTCTCAGTTGTAAATAAATGCTGTCTCTCAAGCGTTAACACAGTGCATGTGGACAATCCGCTTATGGATAAGTGGGAAAAGTTCAGTGGCCATCAAAAAGCAAAGCATGGAAAAACCCACAGTTGGGCTACGTAACAGAGGACACATGGTTGTATCTTCATCATGCCATCTGATTGTGTTGACAGTATTTAATGTAGCACTCTTATTCTTCTATGTTAATTTTACATTGTATTTTAAGGAATTAGACTTATTTTATAAATGATGCATCTTTTCAAAATAATGTTGAATTTTTCAGTATTTTCATGATTTAGGGCTAGGAAACAAAGTTAGAAAATGATGTTTTAATATAAATTCTTAGCTTTCCACCCTACTCCCTAAGTTTTGGGATTCATTTTGCTGTTAACTTACGCTAATGCCGACTATAAAGACTATATAGATTTGAGCTATAGATAAAATGGCAAACTGGTGTAATACTATATTACAAATAATTGTAACTTTTGCTACATAATTCTGCCATGTAATTTCAGTATTACTAGCCAGAACTCACCCCTTTGCAAGCTGGTGGGTAGTTGGAGGATGCTGCTGCATCTTTCATGTAGTTACGACGAATTACAGTCTGAACGTACAGATGTGATGTTTACTAAAACAGATGTAAAGTGTTACCAAAGATGACTCATGTTCTGTGAATTACTTATTGACTGCTTGTTAGTCTTATTGACTGCCTATTAGTCTGTCACATGATCATACTCTACAAATCATAAGAGATTTGGCTTTTCTTATATTAAAAATAATTTCCATCGAGTTCTTTTTATGTGCATCTATCCTGAACAGTGGCAGTTTTGTTGTGGCATAAACCACAGAGAACAGTTCGCATCTAATCTCTGCCTGTCTTGTGTTCCCTGACTGCTCTGATGTCAGCTGTCTGCTGGAAGTGAGACTTGGTGTCTTTACCAAAGTACAGCTAAAAGGAAGATTGTTCCTTCTGAGTGCCTTGGTCACATGGGCAGCTTCAAGATTTCCTTTTTCCCAAAAACAATTAAAAAAAAATCACAGTGTAAAACTTCAGTATACCATAGTGCAGAACCAGTTTGAACTGAAAGATTTGTCAAGAAAGCTGCTGGTAACAAAAATATCTAAGGACTTCCTATGCCTCTGAAAATTACTAAAATACAAGACGTATTAGTGCAGATTTAGAAAAAAATACTGCTCGTCTGAATGTTAACTATATGGATAAAATATTTTGTTTGTGTGATGAATGCCTCTTCAGAGGAATTTGGGTTCACTGCATTTTTTCCAGTTTAAATACAGTCAGTGTGTACATTAAGTATTCTTCATGTTAGACCTCTGTTCAAGTGTTTCTCTTGTAAACGTGACAACTGTATCTCTGTTTCTGAATGCTTTCTAACTTATGAAAATCCAAATCCATTACATTTTATTTTGACATAAAGTAGAAAGAGAATTTGCAGTAGATTTATAACTGAGTGGGATGCTTGTCAAGAAAGAGTAAAATCTGACTGTATTATTTTCTTGAGATTATTTTCTCTGTTTTAAATAAAAGCCTTCTAAAGTTAAGCCAAGCTGCAAAAACAAAGAGTTGCTTAGTCAAAGTCATATCATTTAGTTCTAAATTCATTGTATTTATTTGTATGTTTCTCTCCAGAAAGTGTCAGTTTGCCTTTGGCTTCATGCTGTTGGAAGAGAACTTTCAGTTGCTAACAGCCTAAATCCTGATCTCACCCTTCTTTTTCTTTCTCTCTTTAGGAATGCCTGCCCTGGAATAAGTTTCTCTTCACTTCAAGGCATGGCTTCAGAAATGGTTTGCTGCACTGCTGAGCCAAAAATCTCCTTGGAATGATGTTGCACGTGGTCCTCTGAGACTACTGGTGTGAGTGGGAGGAAAGTGCAATCACATGTTCTGAGCTCAGAGGTAACCACAAATGTTTCAGAGGAAAAAAAGGCATCTCCACTGTACAGGCTGCGTAACGTATTTCTTCCTGATCACTTCTCTGCTAAGAAATAATGGCAAGCTGGGCTAATTGCATTATTGGATAGACATTTAGTCTTTTAAATCCAAAGCAGTAATGACCTGTCTGGAGACATGCTGAGGTAAGAGGCCTTCTGGAAGGATGTTACTCCCTATTAAAAATGGAATAATGCAAAGAGTGTAGCTTTGTTTTGGAAAAGCAGTGTGTGATGAGGTTGCAGTAGAGCAGAATTCCTGAGCAGAGACAAGACACAGGAATCCCAGCCCCAGACAAGTAGCGGGGCCTGATGCTCTCTGGACACTGCTACCTCCCTCTTTGGGGGGGCTTTTCCAACTGTGAAATTACAATGTTAATACTTCATTGCCATCTGTTCCTTTCAGACATGCTGAGGTGATTAATTTGTCGTCTTAAGCCCCTGGAAAATGAAAGCAGTCTATTAGTGCTAAGTAATACTGTTAATTGGCAAGGTGGCAGCATGTGTATTTGAGATGAAAATTAGTCATTCTAATCAACTCTCACCACACCAGTTAAATAACCGCATATAACTTGCTGCATTGGTCAGTTGTGACTTCCCCTTTTAGAAGACCTTAGAACTCTAAGAGAGAAGAGTTTTGGTGTCTAAGCTTTCTTTTTGCTCCATTCAGAACTATAAATCTGAAATGATGAACACAGCATGCTTATTGAGCTTCCTTCCAAAGCCTTGTTATTTAAACAGGTCACAAGATCTAGCTGACCCTCTGCAAATAAGGAGACTAATACCTATGAGCTTCTGGGTAGAGCCCCGGCCTGCTCATTCTGCAAGTGCTGCACGTAGGCTGAGGGATGGGGCATGGGTGCTTTCGAGTGAGCTTGGAGTCTATGGCATCCCACTCTCCTGCCCTTCTGAAGGGGACAGTTCTATACAGCCATGTGGTTTGTGAACGGCAAGAGACGGGTAAGTTGCATGGGTTAGCAGCAACATTGTTCCTTTTCTCATTCAAATAGAAACTTGCAGCCAAAAATTCTGCCCAGTATAAAAGTGGATGCGCTTTTTCACTTCTGCAAGCTGAAATGAGCATACCCACTTCACTGCAGAGTGTCCCTGTGACACGCAAAAAAAGTGCTGCTGAGTCACTACCTTCTTCCAGAAGCTGCTGTGCACAGAGGAAAGGTCCTTGAAAAGCAGCTGAACTATGTGGAGTCCCAGTGCAGGACTAAGCACCCAGTCTGTCATGGCTGGCCTGTGTCAGAGAATGGAAATGGGTGCATATCCTTTTGGTGGTCACTTGGGTGTCCGCTTCCACCCTTCTTACTCTCTGGAAATGCTGGTCTTGAGCCATCACATGTCCAAGGACCAACGTGTTCAGATCGCAGAGCACTAAGCTGTAGCTTGAAAGTCTTTAGAATCATTAATCCTATCTAATGTGTGACCTAAACAGATGTCATCTATCTTATTAGCACCCTTTCAGCATACTACGGCTATGCCACTCAGACGGCATGAGAAGGAAGCTTAGAAAACACAGTGAACCTAAGCGAGGAAATGACAGCACAAATCTCTGTTTCATGTCAACCACCTCCAGCTCACCTGCTCCAATCACAGTGCCATGTATGCGGCTCAACTGCGTAGCAAAGGAGAGATTAGTCCTGCACACAGCTGAAGGCAGTGTCATTTAGTGAATCTGGGTCAAGAGCCTCCCATAAACTAAAGCACAGGGCTGCTGCTCCCAGAGCGCATCTCTGAGCTCCACCTGGTGCTCAGTGACTGGCGTGCCGCCCGGCACCGCTCTTTCTCTCCTTTGTTTTCTGGTTCCTGCTCCTACAATTGTAACTGTAAAGCAGAGATGTGTTCACAGCTCCCTGTGCAGCGAACCTTGCAGAAATACCCGTTTGTTTGTTCCTCCCGGTGCAAAACAGCTGACAAGCAGCTTTTTGCTGCGTGCTGAGCAGGCAGAACCATCTGGGCTCGGGTGCTATGATCTGCCCTGACAGCAGGAACAGGCATTACTGGGCTTCCCCTGCCACACACACATCACCCTCAGTAACGACACATGCATAAAAAGTCAGACCCTTCTCTTTTTGCTCTTTCCACTGGTTGCAAGTAATTTACTTGCCGTGCTGCTGGCACTGGCTGTGCTGTGTGTTTCTTCACCCCCCACACTGGCACTGGGCTGAAATCCCTGCACGCACAGAATTTTAATGCTGCCTTGTGATTGCGCTTTTGGAAAACCCTACAAATGCTATTGCCTCAGAGAACTCAAGGTTAGAAAAGCCTATATGTCAATTCAGCTTTATGCTTTATATTGCTCTTTTGCTTTTTTTTTTTTTTCCAGTGATCTATTTGCTAAGTCTTAATGATTTTTCAGCCTTAACTTCACTCTAGAAGAGTCATGGTTAATTTAGTGCCATGATGTTTTACTCACTTTCTTAGAAAGGACCTTGGGAAAAGATGAGACAAGTGGTTGTGAATAAGCAAAGAGACCTGTTTTGATTGCGTGATGTCTGTCTGTTGTTCAACAACTCATTTCTCACATCAAGTAAAAGCAATTGCTAGAGCCATAACATTGCATAGTTGTCAGATAAAGCAGCCCTTGTGCCTTTAGCCTGCACTGAGAGTCACTTCCTTTTCTGGATCCGGCTGCTCAGGGCACTTTGGGTTTTCTCCTCCTTTGGTTCTCATTTATGATTTTGTTATTTCTCTCACAGAAAAAATAAGAGTATCAAGGTATTTGATGCCTTTACATGGACCTAAAGACTTTTCTCAAGTGGTGTTATTAAAATTGGAGACTTCTATCCTGTGCCACATGTCTATCTTCTGCAGAAGATAATTAATAACAGCCATCCTTCCAGCTCTCCCATGTCAAGTGGAAAGTTATAAATGGAGAAATACACTGTGCAGAAGTACTTTTCGTTTCTTTCTTCATTGTTTTTTATATTTCTAATCCAGATGCAGAGTCTTTGAAACTGCACATTTTTTTCAGAGACGATGTCTGGAAGTTTCTGAAAATGTAGTGTTCAGTAACTGGACACAAGTCTGACTGCTCTCCCTGAGCCTGCATCTGAACTGTCCTCAAAGCAGCCAAACAGAAAGCTGCTGTCCTGCCCTGTCCCCTAAACCAGTCAGTTGCAAGGTGGGAGGCATGAGGGCTTTCAATCCCAAATCCAGCTCTTCGGGAAACCACAGGTGTCTGAAATGTGAACATTGAGCTCTGCCTACACGTGCATGGTAAGC